TGATCAAATATCAAAGACTACTCCACGTGTAGGACACAAAGTGGCTGAGGAGGCCCAGGGCGATAGCAGATTCTCGGCAGACTAGGTAGCTAAAAATGGTGGACCCAAGTCCGAAGAGTGTGCGTCAGAAGCACACTACTAGAGTCAGATGAGGCCAGGGATATTAATGACTCTGTTTCCAGAAACAAGAAACAAGAAACAATCACCCATATCGAGAAGTATCTGTGGAGAGCACTAGAGCGGCTAGCCCAGGGGGCTGCCCTGTATGCAACAAGGCTGCGACGGCATATGCATAGGCGAAGGCAAAGCCATGAAGATCCAGAGCTCGAATAGTCTTCGCTGCAGGAACTTCAACAGTTGACTGAGGTTTCCACTCCGCTCGCCGACGCTCTGACATTCCAAGTCTTGGCGCTGCACTTCTATGCTCTACGTACGAACACGCTTTGGCAGTGATGTTGTTCTACTTGGGGTGCAACCACAGCACGTCACTCAGGATACCTCCTTCGGCTCCTGGCCCGCCACGTTCGCTGCTGGACGTAAGTGCGGCGGGAATCGAGCATCATGCACCGCGCCTCGCGGCGAATTTCTGCCTGGCCACCCCGTTTCAGATGTCGCGACACGTAGAGGATGCTGTCATGTTGCGATGTGTTGGACGTTTATAGTGCCCTCTCGATAGACTCCATCAGTCGAAAGGCTTAGCTTTCTTGGCGCTTCATGCTTGCTGACCCACCAATACAACATTCCTACTTCGCTCAGACAGACCATTCCCACTTCATCTAGTTACGCATGTGGACAACAGTTCGGCTAAATCTGGTTGTCAATGCAAAGACTCCACACGTTTTCACAGGCATTTTTCAGTGACGAGGTTCAAACACAAGGAAACAGCTTCATCGGGCGAGAATTGTTATCGTTCGTAATTAAGGGGTTTCGCCCGAGTTATATGTAAGTGACTTCTGATGTACTATCATACAAGAAGGTAAAAGAAGACCGCCAGGCCGGGGATGAGGGACGTCATAACGGCCCTCAGGTCGTGCTGCAGTCCCCGGGCACCGGCTTCAACGGGGGGCTCGGACACCTCAGGCGCGGGAGGTGCGCTGCTGGGAATCGCGCTGGGCACGCTCGGGACGGAAGGAACTGCGGGGACAGAGGGAACAACGGGGACCGAGGGGACGGCTGGGACAGAGGGAACCGCCGGCACCGAAGAACTGCGGGACAGAAGGCGAAGGATGACGGCAGGCTCCGAGACGTGAGGAACCTCACTGGCGGGCTCAGAAACGGTGAGGGACCTCGCTGGCGGGGGCAGAAGGGACGACGGGACGTCGTGAGTGGTTGTATGGCTC